TTCTTTTTCTTTTTCTATTTTTTCTTTTTCTTTTTCTTTTTCTTTTTCTTTTTTTTTCTTTTTCTTTTTCTTTTTCTTTCTTTTTCTTTCTTTTTCTTCTTTCTTTTTCTTTTCATTTTTTTCTTTCTCTTTTTTCCTTTCTTTTTTCATTTTCTTTTTCTTTATTTTTTAATTTTATTTTTTCTTGTTATTTTTATTTTTATTTCTTTTTACTCTTTTTCTTTCTTTCTCTTTCTTTCCCTTTCCCTCTGTCTTTCTTCCTCTCTTCCTCTCTCCCTTATTTTTCTCTCTCCTTCCTTCCTCCCTCCCTCCCTCCCTCTTTTCCCTTTCCTCCCCCTCCTCCCACGTCACGCAGGGTTTCACCCTGTCCCAGACATCGGGGAACCCCCTGCTGCGGGGGGATGCCAGGACAGACCCAAAGGGCTGACGCTGCTTCAGGGATGGGGCAGCTCTCACGACACAGCCCACGTCCCACGTGGGACCCCACATTCACTGAGCCCACAGCACTGAGTCCTCCTCAAAGCCCCAAAGCTCCTGGCGGGAGAAACCCCCCCGGCCCCAGGCCGGCAGCGGCAGCATGGGGAGATGGCAGCTAAATAAAGGCGAGCAAAGTGGATCTGTTGGAGCAGGCGGCCGCCTGCGGCTCGTACTTTATTTAGCACAGTTTTGTTTGGAAATACGCTTTCTTGAGTTCGCGGAAAGCAGAATTTCTGGTTTGGTTTTAATTTGATGGCTGAAGCCCCACGCTGGCGCTGCAGGAGGCTCAGGCTGGGAGAGAGCTCACGGAAACTCATGGAAACCTGCGACTGGATGGGCTCTGCCGTGGGCACCGGCTGGGGACCGCAGCCCCACAGTCACCCTGCATTTCCTTGGGTCATGAGTGCCATCCTCCAGCATCACCTCGGCATCTCCCCACAACCAGAACTGCCCCAGGGTACTGGCGGGGGTGTTAGAGGAGCTTACATCCCTCTCCCTGCCTCCTTCCCAGGAGTTTTGCACCCCTGACCATCACAATTTTACCCACTGGGAACAAACTCAAAACTCGCCCTAATAACCACTGCCCCTTAATTCCCTTCCCAGTCCCAGCTTTGGTGCAAACAATCCCGTGCTGGGTGTCGGGCAGGACCGGGACCATGGCCCCACCCCCTGCCGCTCCAGCCACGCGTCTTGTGCAGCGCTAATAGTGTTAACATGTAGGAAACAAAACAGTCCCATAATATTAATAGCGGGAAGGAACGGCCCAGAGCTCCCCGCGGGCTCTGAACGCCCCGACGCCGTGGACCAGCCCAGCTAACGAGCTGACATGAGAGGCCCCTGCCACTAAACTGCAGCAACCAAACTCCCACCACGGAGCGGTTTCCCGCAGAGAATCCAAGTGTCTTCAGCAATCTGCCAATTGCACGGCTAATTTTATTTTTTTTTAAAAAGGGAATTAAATGTTACAACAATATTCTGAACAGCCAGCATGTCGGGAAAATGTGTTGAGCGCTGGGGAAGTCATTAGTTAGAGCCAGTTGAATATGTCAATGCGATTTATCATCCCACCTTTCCCTGTACCTCTGGAGAGGATGCATTTCAGGTCCATCAGGG